TGCTTATTTGGCTGGAAGCATTACTACCCAAACCCCACAAGGTAAAGACAGTCTCAAGTCATGTATTTTTATAATTCTCCATTTTTGAAATTGACATCATGAGAGTTTTACTTTGACTCCCAATCTGAATCTCTGGGTTCCCTATCCTTATATCAATTAGGAAATATTTGCTGAATGCAAAATTAATGTCAGTCAAAAGACAAATTTGTAAACAAACATGTATAATAAATGCTTATTAATCGTCAACTTCCTTATTATTTGAATAGAAAGGAACAATAGTTCTTAATCTGAGGTTCTTAATCTTGGCACCACAGAATGATCTGGGGGGAGTTTAAAAAAAAACATCAAAGGGCCGGCCCGTGGCTCACTCGGGAGAGTGTGGTGCTGATAACACCAAGGCCATGGGTTCGGATCCCATATAGGGATGGCCAGTTAGCTCACTGTGTGAGCGTGGTGCTGACAACACCTAATCAAGGGTTAAGATCCCCTTACCGGTCATCTTAAAAAATAAATAAATAAATAAAAAATAAGAAAACATCAAATGTCCCAAACCCCACCTTAGACCAATTAAATCAGAATCTCTTCTAAAAGGGCCTACTCTTACTTTCTTACATAGCTCCTGGGAGTATTCTAATGTGAAGCCAGGGTTGAATAGTTTAATATAACTGACAATGAACTTCTGATGTATCTCAAAGCCAAGTTTAAAAAAACTCAACCAAACAAAAGAAACTATTTTCAACACTGTTTCCTTTCTAGTAAACAATTGCTCAATGCCAGTAGAAATAATTAGAACTATTTAAAAATTCTAGTTTGATAGTCTATTTGACATTACCAATATACAGTGTGCCCTTCTTATCCACAGGGGATTGGTTCCTGGACCCCCTTGGATGCCAAATTCTGTGAATGCCAAGTCCTTTATGTAAAATGGCATAGTTCAATTGGCCTTCCATATCTGTGGGTTCAGCATCCATGAATTCAACCAACCATGGATTGAAAATACTTTTTAGGGCCGGCCTGGTGGCGCACTGCTACAGTGCGCCACTTGGGAGTGCAGCGGCGCTCCCACCGAGGGTTAGGATCCCACATACAGACTGGTTCCACNATCCCCATGTGTCAAACTCCTCCTGGAAACAGGTAATATTGAAATCAGGCAGCAACAAAAATCTGGTGGTCACCCTTTCACAAAAAGGCAAAGCCTAAAATGTCATTGCCAAATCACACTGCTATCTATGAAAGGTAATAGTGATAGTTGTTATCTTCCAGTCCCAGATTCTTATCTCCCTGAAAAATTTTTCCTTGTTTAAAAAGTAATTTAGCACTTCTTACATACTAGTTTGAAAACCATTAGACCAGTGCTTTTCTAACAGTAAATGTACATATCAATCACCTGGAACTTTTGTTAAAATATCAATTCTGATTCAGTAGTTGGAGGGGGTGGGGGCCTGAGAGTCTGCATTCCAAACAGCAAGGATTTCAATTTTGAAGCAACTATTACCAGATGATCCTTTAAAATTCTTCTAACTAATTAGAAGGGGGAAGGGGAGAGACTGGACAAGAGGCATAAAGAATAATTACGATTT